ATTAATGTTGCTATGAAACATTTCCAATTGCCCGAAGAAAGAATTTTTCAGTTTTCGTTTTACTTCCGATGATCAATAAAAAATTACAGTGATCTACTCGAGTGTACATTTATTTAATAGAAAGTCAAAATGGATAAATTTGTTTTCGGTGTTTTCAAAACGATGTGATTTATATTTATTAAATTATATTATAAAAAATGATTTTTGGTTATATTATTATCCATTTCTTTCATTTTTAAATAATTCCCTATAGAAGTAAATATTTTATAATTTATTTATATTATTTTATATTTTATATCATATTATGCAGTAAATTATAACTTTTACCTTTAATTTACTTAAACAAACTGTTTTTAATGATTTTTTTTCATTTCCTTAGTTATACACTATACGTAATATAATTAGGAACGTGTTATACTATTGCTAGTCTAGAAACGTATATTTAAAATTGTTGGATAACTATTAGTTTAATTTTTATCGATTGTTGAATCGTTTCTTTTCTTTTAGGTATATAGTTTTTGTAAAATGATCCCTTTGTGAAATTTATGCTCGACCATTTTAAACTAAATTAAATATTAACTTAAAAAATTGTAGTTTTAAAAAACTTAAATGCTCTACAGTTATATTAAGTAGGTTACATAATTAAAAAAAAAATATATACATTATACGGTGTTGTAAATGTTATAGATTATATAAAATAGTATGACGGTTAATAGTTTGATGATTGTTGATAGGTTTCGGGCATATTTTTTTAAAATTTTTACACCTATCAACAATCATTGCAAGTACCAAACAAATTTTAAATTATTTATTAAACGATTACCCATAAATTATCATGGCTTAAGTACAAAGTTATAAATAATGTAGCTTTTGAATTTAATGGGGTACATTCTATAGTCTACACAATAGTAAACTATTCGTTTCATAATATAGTTTTTCTATAGAAAATGTGACGATTTATCTTTTTTGTCAAATGTATAATAATATTCCACTATGACTCGAACCACGGTTAGCGAAGCGAGTTTAAATCTATTTTCTTCATCTATATAGTTTTGTTCTTTTTTTGTGTACGTCAAGTTCTTTTAATGTTTCAAACAATCGTGTAATGGATGTTTTAAAAATAATAATCAAATTAATATCGTAAAATCCTTCATATTAATTTGAAATAAAAATGCAATGTTCTAGATCTAAAATCAATAATAATTTTATATTTTAAATAACCTGACATTCTGATAAAATTATGTTTATGCTTTTCAATGGAAATTATTTTAATTCGTTAAATCTATCATTAAAAGTTTCTTTACGAAGTTCACACTCTGATTCACACATTTACTTGTATGTGATAGAAACATAAATAATATCATCAATGTAGCTACCAAAGTAGTTTTCATACTAATGATTATTTAGTTCATTGAGTCGTGTGGATACAAAGTTAAACGTTGGAAAAAAAAATGCATAAAAAGTCTAAATATCCATCATCGTATGGTGTCCGTTAAAAATCTTTATTTTAATGCGTTTAGGTACTTCGCGTGCCAATTATTTTTGCAGATGTATAAGTATATAATATAATACTATACTGTTCGGCGTAGTGTTTTTATTTTATCGTAGGTCGTAGGTATAGAAATAGTCGTGCAGTAATAGCGTTTAACATAAAACACTGTACATATATAGGTGTGTTTCTATTATTATTATTACCATTTTTCTTTTTTGCGCGAAATCGTAAGGTGTTCTATCTATTGCTCGAAAACTTTGTTTCCGTGTGTAGCGTGACCCCCTTGGTATAAATTAAAAACGCCCACTGAGTTATTTACGCTTTTGTTCAGTGATATCTCCGCTTCAAATTGATTTTCCGATAATAATCTATCCGGGCACCCGACACGTAAACTTCTGTTCAAAAGTGTGTATACGGGTAATTGGATCGTTGCTTCGTAGTAACAGTAACCTCCGCGAGACGAAAAATACCCACCGGGCCCTTTGAATTTGCAATTCAAATGTCCCCTCCCCACGTTCCCCCTCGCCCTCCCATCACTCATACCGCGCCGCTCCGTCGACCATATTCGCCACCACCGTTTTACTTTGCAGATTTGTCGAGCCACCACACATCGTTCCGGCGTGGGGATTTGCTTTTCAACATTTTGCCCTTTACGCGGCCAACGTGTGCTCGGTTCATCCTACGGGGCTAGGGATTACCGTGGGATTCTTAACATTGCCGCCAGCAAATCCTGGATTTCAATATCATATATTATATCTGCGGCACTGTACAAATATGACAAAAGGGTAGTATACACAGGGACCGCCGGTATCGTAGACTAGAAAGCGTACGGTTTTAAATCCGAGTTTAAAATTTTCTGAATTTGACCACGGCCACTCTCATATTTTGCAATCGAGAAATGCGCGGCTAACTATGTTGTGTATACGGTGCTCACTTACGCCCTGCGGTCGAAGGAGTTATCGCGTCCGTTACTTAACTTACCGAAAATAATTCGGAAACATCAAACAAATTAGGTAGCGTGTAATTAAAAAAAAAGGGTACTTCGTCTACCACATTCGGATCTCATATTTATCACTAGAAGTATCCACTAAATGTTTAGAGCTTAAATACTGACGTTAAAAGTTTAATTACAGCGAGTCGAAAAACAGGCTCTTTCACATTCGTTTGTAAAGTTTTACAACTTAATGATTAGGCAACGCTAATTAAATTCTAAGAACATGAAAACATGTCTTGAAATTAAAAAATATAAGAAGAAAAAATATAATATTATTCAAAATGATTTTTTTAAATTTTATGCAGGTACAATGGTACATACTATATTTTAAATCATTACAAGTACATTTATAATATTGTAATACTTGACACAATATGTTATTAGATATTATTATACTTACAAATACACTTTGACACTCGTCTCTCAATCAATATTCTCGTCACCGAAATAAATTGTTTTTTATCATCGATCATTGAACCATTCGTTTCTCATTTGTAAACATGTAAGTCGTATACCTACCTACGCAGTGCACTGTGTAACGGAGCACTAATAATGCATAAAACGGTATCACTGCGTTCTTTTTGTGTACACTTTAAATGTTTACAAATGAGAAATGAATGGTTTGATATACGAATTGCGTAGTGTGCCACACACATCTACATTTTCAGTGAAATATCAGATTTCCATCATTGACAAAATTCAAAGTTATTATTATCACGATAATGTCAATGAAAACTCACATTTTACCAGTTTATTAACATAAATGTATTAATTTAAATTTTTATTCTATGCATCAATAATTTATTTATGTATACATTTTTTATGGGTACATTTAATGTTTCGTAAATTATTATCGGCAGTAAATAATATAATACACTTGAATAATAAATCATAGACAGGATAAGAATTAATTAAAAAAAAAAATAATCAATAATTAATAATTAAATTAAAATAGGTAAAAGCATATGTGATAACATTTCAGCAATGTTATCTCATTCGATTCCTCGTGTTTGATTTGTACAAAGCAATTATTTATGGGTCAAGTCATCTGTATCAAACGAAATGAAACATTTCGTAAATAGACCCTTAAATTTGTAAGTGACAAAGGTAGAATGCCGTGTTTAGTAGGAAACTGACCGCGCACATTTTTTCATTAGACTTCGTCTCTGAAAGATGTATCAATGTATCATGCCACTAAAATTTATTTATTCTCGATTGTAATGAGTTTTTTGTTTGTTCAGTGACCGTGCATGTGTACCACAGAACAAAAGAACGAAAACCTTGCAGTATAAATTTATAAAACATTTATAGCTTTTCGGGTCTGCAGATATCCGTCTGTGTCATAATCCCTATCATCGTTTCTTCTGACTGATGAAACCGGTGGTCGAGTATAATATTATAATATATATATATACGCGGGCAGCGTAGTTATATAATAATATTATTATAGTGACTTCATTCATAGTTCGTTCTCGTTGTTTGGTTTTTGTTATTACCTATAGCATATATGCTTCAATATTTGTCAACAGTCTTCACACAATATCTCGACGTGTTTTTTGACATGATTTTAGTAATGGTTTGACAGATCACACTCTCGACTCTCCAGAACTAAGTGTTTTTGAAAGGTCATACAATATGTGCGGGTTAAACGACCAAAACCCATTGGCGAGCTAGAAAAATCTAAGCATACCGTCTCGGTTTCACGTTTTGACGTATTTTTCACTATTATTGCCTTTTCGATGTCTGGCCGTGTCATAATGTTACTGTCATCGTTTATTCTAACTTTTGAAACCAATGGCCGGTTTATATTTTTCTACACAGGGGTTGGGTCGTCAAAATATCAATAAGCGTGCTGGGTTATAATATGATGTATGACCTTTTTTCATAATTCATTTTTGTTTTTATTTTGTTTTTATTGCGTTATTGTTTTGTCTTGAAGTTTCTCGACGTGTTTTTTTGACCGAATAGAAATTTTCTGACAGGCCACTGTCTACGAAACTAACATTTTTTTTTTTGTAAAGGTTACATAATGTGGGATGGGGTGGGGAATCTGAATAAACGTATGGAAAGAATTTTGTTTCGTCTTTGACACTCTCGATCACGTCCACAAATTGAATTAGGCTTCGTTATCGAAGGACAACCCAAACATCCGTCACAACTGCCAAAATGACTCCAAAAAACGTCCAAAGCCCATTGGTGAGCTGCAATAATCTATGCAGACCTTCGCTGTTTCACGTTACGACGTATTTTTCGTTATTATTGCATTTCTCTATTAATAGGTACCGAATAGTAATCCTCTCCACACTCTCTGGATCTAAAATTGTGTTATGAAGAAAAAGCCGACATAATATGGGTAGATGTGTGTGGGGGATGGGTCGGGGAATCTAATTAGTTGGCGTAGCGAAAGAATTTTATTTCATTTTGGCCGTTCCGGATGGCGTTTTGTTGTATATTTTAGGCTCGTCGAATAACCTTCACCGAAGAAATACAAAAAAACCCATCGCCACTTTAAAAATGACATCGAAAAACGATCAAATTCCAAATTCGAGTGGCAGTCTCCGTAAACCGTCTCTGTTAACGGCCGGTTCGAAAAGCGTGGAAGACCAGAAGACCCGTCACGACAGCGGCAGTAAGACATCGCTGTCGGCCGTCAAGTGGCACTCGGCGCCGGCGACGGAACGCGAAGACGGCAGATCGTCGTCGTCAGCCTCAAAGTCGACATCTGCGGCGATCGAAATGTCGGCGGCCGGTGGCGGTGGCGGCGGCGGTTGGAGACCGCTTCAGAGGCAAAAGGTGGTGACCGCGGCGCCGACGCTCGAAGAGGACGAGGACGGACGTCCGGCGTCAGTGGCGGCCGCAGCCGACGCTGACCGGTCACCGCGAAAACGGTCGTTGGCTGTGCGTCGCGGTTACAGTTGCCAGGAACCGTGCGCCGCCCGCCGGCCGATGACGATGAACAGTTGCGGTTGCGTGGCCGTTGGCGGAGTGGGCGGCGCCATCACGGCGGCTGGCGAGAACAGGAGACGCTGGCTGTCGGCTGACACAGGTGGCAACGGCCACGCGGTGGCCGGCACCAGCCGATCGATGGAGTGCCTGCCATCGCCCCAACCACCGTCCACACCACACCACCTGCATCGGAGCAGCTTCATCATGGCCGCGGACGACCGCAAGTCTCTGGACAGCGGCCTGGATGACGTTGCGGCCACGGCTGCCGCCGCTGAAATGGCCGACCGCCGGCGCGGCATGTTCGCGTCCACCCGGACGTCCGTGCCGTCGCACCTATCGCTCGCCTTGCCGTCATGCGAGCGCCGGTTGACCATCCTGTCACCGCACACGCACACGCCGTCCACTCCCTTCTACTCTACGTCGTCCACCGAGACCGCTTGGCACTTTTGCACGTCGTCCACGACTGCCGCTATGTCGTCGTCCACGTCGTTCGCGTCCCACTCAACTGCGTCCACTTCCGCAGTCACGTCCACCTGCCGTCCACGCAAGAAGAATCAGCCCGGCATGGTGTTGCCCCGTCTCGTGCTTCCCGGAAGTTCCGACTTGGACATATTCTCACAGTAAGCAAGTGCCGTTATTTTACTCGCTGCTTTTTATAATTCAACCTAACTGCGTCACTTTCCCGAATATGGGTCACGTAGACGCAATTTATCTGGCTGCGATGTTTAAATTTTTAAATATTATTAATATTAATTTCGTCAGCGAAATGAGGTTTTCGTTAATTTTCATAAATTGTTTTTTTTTTTTGCCTTTTAATTTTCCTTTTTCGAAATAAACTTCGATTTCCTACGCTGGATTTTGATGGCCTCTGAAAAATTTCCCGAAATTCTTAAATTCTTCCTCTAAAAATATTAATCGTTCACTTCTCGGACTCTACATATATAAGAATTATTATAATGTTCCATATTTTTATGGAAATAATGTACAGTGTGTAGAGTTCTTTTCTATCATATATAATATGTTCTTTAACTCACTTTATTCGACGAGGATATCAATTTTAATATCATTGCATATTAGAAGCCTCTTATAGAATATATTATACAATAGCATTTCATCAAAGTTTAATATTATTTTTACCCAACAATAATATTTTGTTTAAAACGTTTTATACGTGCTGTGTGAATAATTTGTAGTTTATTGGCGAAATATTTACCGACAATTAGTTTAATACTGCTAATAGGGTTTCTAAAAATGCTAAACTATATTTTTACAACGCCTACAACATTTTTGGGTTTTGTTGTTTCGTGTTCGCCTCGCTGACACTGCCGAACTAATTTACTTTATTGCCAAACTATCGTGGATGTATTTTTACCACGAGCAATTATTTTTCATAGTGAGTATTCATAAACGCCAACACTGACAAATGTATAAATATACCTATTCATTATTGAAATCTATAATGGCCTAAGCCTTACGTTTCATATAAGTATAATAGTATCGTGAATCCTAGTTTATTAAACAGTCCACTGCACCAGTTTTCTAGAACCCAATTTATCTGATGACGGGAAAAATGAATGGTTCTTTTTTTAACTATATTAAATAAAATAATTGTACCTAACAAATATCAATTTCATACAAATTTCACTTAAAAATTAAACCAATAATTTATTGAAGAGTATATTATTATTAATTATATGTATATAAAAGTTTATAATATCATACACACACTATATTGAAATAAATACTTTTTTCTTTTTGGGGAGATACCTCATAATATTTATATTTTTTTTTATTCCTCTTATTGTGCTTCTGTTCGGCATCGATCAGATCTGAAACGAAAAAATGTATATATATTTACCTCCTATCCAATGTCAACAAGCAAATATTCATTAATAATTATAATTATAATTTTAAGTCACGAAACAATAACGAATTTTACCCTAACCTGATTCGAAGTCCCCCGAGTGCATTATCATCCAACCATAATCTTGACTTTGGCTTAGTTTATTTAATAAAACTTTTGTACAGAATTATACCGCAATATAACAAAATATATTTTACTTTCTTAAAAGTTGGAGATCATATGTGTGGGTTTTTCTGCTGTAAAAGATATTATAGAAAATATTCTATACTAAAATTTCACTTATACAAAATATGTTTTCCTTCTATATAATGAAATTCGTTATGGAGCCATAACGAAAGACTCGAGCCGAAACTATTAGAAATAGAACACTACGGTAAATTAGTTTTGACCTGCACACTCAAATATTTTGAAAATAACATTTTCAGTTTTTAAAAAAAAATATCAAGAAATATTTTTGTTTTGTATTTCGTAGTATTCCACGTGGTATTATAAAACTATATACTTGCTATGTAGCTTAGTAGCTATTTTATTTTCAAAAAGAGAAAGAACGGTGTCTCTGTTTTAAAACTCCCTAGGGGGCTTTTAAATCATTCTACTACTCTGGGATCTGTTAAAATGTATACCTACGGCAGTAACTGCTATGAGGTCACACTATCGTAAAAGCTCGTCTAAAATTGAATTACTATACTTTGGAGACCGTTACCTGTTAAGGACGTAAGGCCAATGGATAATTGGCATCGAATGAGAAAGCTAATCAGTTCATAAAATCCAAGTACAAATTAATTTAATAGCTACCAATTAGTACCGATACTTGGTTTTTGGTATAAAAGTACATTTTGCGTACTTAACCGTTTTTATTGTCGATGTAATGAATTCATTTTATTTCATAAGACTTTTTCGCATGCAGTGAGCCGTAAAATTACTTTAGAATGCATTCTACAGTGGATTTGTATGTTTGAACTTTATTTATTACGGAAAAACGGTTTTAACATATTATATTGCAAATTCAATTTTTTATCCTAAACACTGAATTTATTTTACTTGCATACATACATGTATGCCGTATTTAATAATACGAAACAGTAAAACTTTTACAATTGATTTTATGTAAATGGTGTTACACCGGATTCGTTTCAGTCAGTATTTTTTTGTCAATTATGGGTAGGCAAGTAGTCCGTTGAATGATTAGAATTTTTTTTTTAAATTTTTTGTATTATTTCAAATTGTATGAGATTGTATGTCAGTTTTCTAAAACAAAAATAAATATTATTATAATTACTTATTTATTGTTAACTATTTTGAAGTAATTTTATTATTGTAAAATAAGTGGTTACATAGATTTATTGAATCTACTACAATAACCAACTAAGTGATTTAGCTTAGCTATTCTTCTCACGATAACATAACACGTTTTACATCGAAATTTTCTTAACTCTATCCAATACAGCAATACATTAATGAATAAAAGCTATTTAACTAATTTGTATATTTTAAAAACAATTTCTACTTTATACAATACAAATTTAAAATCAATTATTAAATATAGAAAAATAATATAAAATTTGTTGTGAAGAAAATAATGTCTGATTCTGTTTATGTTTTATTCTCTATTATAAAAACAAAAAAAGGACAAGTAAGAAACACGATTGTCTGCAAAAAAAAGCAAGAGTGTTTGTATACTTATTTTTCCATTTAAAATTGATTCAACATAGAGTAAAAAATGAAACACAAAATAGCATTGTTAGATATTATTTATTGAACTTATTGCCATTTGATTTTCCTCGATTAAGTTGCTGAAAAGACATAAAAACAACTGTATTTACACTATGTTTATAGTTTTATCGTCATTGCTTACAATTTATTTTATTACAACTTAGTTTACCTATATTCAGTAGATAAATTATTTGTAGAGAACAATGATAGATTCCTACTTTGATGTGTGTATGTACGGATAGTACATTTTAACTTTTGCTCACATTTCTTATTCTGCACACACAAAAACTATTTAAATAATCTTAAAGAGCTAACGAGTAGACAATAACGTTTTCAAATAGTAGGTAAGTCTACTTAAGACTTTTAGAACGCTCCGTCTACTAGAAAAAATTATAACGAACAAAATTGGCTTTGAAAAAATATATATATACCTACGTATTATAGAACCATAATATAGTTGAACACAGAACTCTTAGACATTTGTCGTTTATATTTGTTGAAGAATAAAACTACCTAAGATAATTATATATTATTACAACCTAATACCAACATCCTTAAACTTTAAGAACTATGTTTATTTTCACGAGATCGTTAATTTTTTTTTTTTAATTAGAGGTCGCTCCGGTGCGTAACGATACAGCTCAACGATTACAAAAATAAATATACCTGTACTCATTACAGTCAATATAATTAAAACTGAACAAGACAATTAAAACAATGGAGTAAAACAGTTGAGTTTCGAGCGAAACGGGCGGAAATTTTATTTAGTGTTAATTTGATTTCGTTGTATTCGACGGAGGTTGATATGGAAATAATAGTATACCGACGAATTATTGATTTTCCGTAGGCAAGTGAGTGTAAATGACATAATTGTTAATAAAACCATAACCCAAACGTTATATCACCTCTATATTTTCAATTTTCAATTTGTTTAAAATTCTCACATTCTACGAATTGTTTGTATGAGTTTGCATATCACGTTTCGATGCATGTAGTTTCGAAAACGGGTACAAGATGGACAGAAAATAAAATTAGATAAATCGCGTACATTATTATAATAAAATTGGGAACGAAGAAGATATTAGTTATTATACGAGTGGGGCCCACTACAATTGTGTAGGAGATTACCGATTTCCATTTTATTTTCATTATTGGTTTGGTCGGATAAAAATGGTCTTTGGTATTAGAGGTCACGGGTGTCCGAAAGTATTACTCTCGAGATAAGAGATTAATGATTGAAAACATAATAATATAGTATATATAAAAAAAAAAAATTCAACCTTTCATGGATAATATTAATTTTTATATAGGTACATTTGATTAAAATATAGTTAACTAGTAAAATGATTTAATCGTTGATTGGAATAATGGAAAAAACAAAACAAATCGGAAAAAAATGCAAATCAACAAATAGTTCTAATAATGTTTGATGGTTAGGTATAACATAAACCATAAGACGATGGTATACTTAATATTGTATAATATTATTATGTTTATTGTTTAAATCCCAAATTCCAATCAATTTGGTACTAAACTGAGTAACAAGTGTCAACTGATTGCCGTCACAACATTGCAACTAAAACCTAAATAAAATCATAAAAAAAAAAAAAACACTTTTTTACTGAAATTAGACCAAGTGATAACGATAACGCCGCGATCAAACTTAAATAATTTAAAATCGTTATACGCTTGTAGCGCATAATAATATATTGCACTTGCATACTTGACTTTTACTCGTTGTAGGGTCCAAAGTCAAACTCCCAAGTCTATACAGGAAACCACAGTTTGTTCAACTAACCCTCCTTAGAGGGTTTATTGTGCACCAATGCGTACGCTCCTATGAGCTTTGCGAAACGGTCGGAGCTCTGTAAACCTAATAGTTCACGTTTTTAGAAAATTCTCACCAAAGTTGTTTATGTAAAAATTGAAATAAAAAAAATGTAGGTATGGGGAAAGGTTACGCCGTTACCTCGGCTAACTTTTATATTTGTAAATATTATTTGTATTTACATTTTAGATTCCTGAACTTCGTAAAGGATACTAAACA